AAGTGAGAAAAGAGTGCAGTAAGTAAAGAGATGGGTTGGGAGAGAAATAGGAAGGATTGCTCAACCATGTTGACAGAAAACTGGTCAAGGGATCGGCTTTACTTGTATATTTGACGAGTTGTAACTTGCTGCTGAGACTCACTGAAGATGCTGGCGAAACTTATGGAAATGAACCTAATTCGTGAACCGACGATGAGAATAATCATAACTACTCAAATGGAAAATATCGGATAAGGTGCGATCGACTAAGTCGAAATGAGAACATGACTAGGCTACGAAAATAAAAGCTCACTTCTAAATTGTTCCGTTTATATAATCGCCAAATTCGATCAGATCAAATCGAAGATCTTAGCATTACAGTTAACCTTCTTTATCTCCTATCTGAATAACTCAGGCAGAAGTCTAAAGATCAATCATTCAAATCGGTAAAATAGCACATTAAAGGTTACGTGCATGTCTCTTTACAAAGTTCAACTACATATAGATACAATCATGAATAAGTATTGATGAGAGTCGAGAAAAGAATTGAAGATGAGATTAGGATGTTTTAAAACTTACTTACTATGAATGTCGATTTTGATGGTTAATGTTATTTAGCCACAAATGTCACATCAGCTCAATAATACTTGAGATTGTTTCTGCACTTTCCGCGCACAACTAAGCATCGCATCCGTTTGGAGGTGTAAATGAGACCTAAGTAAAGTCCAAATTGTAGTACATTCTGGATGAGAAGACCCGTTAAGAGTAATGGTTATGCAATATTCAATAACATTCTGGGCTACGTCAATTATTGTGAGAAACATCTGCACCAGCCCATAAACTTTTGCAAAATAGCTTTACCAAATAGACTTCTCCTGAAAAAAAAGTTAATCTACCGAACAATTAATAGAGGAGTCCAAAGAGTACACAAGTCACTCGAGGAATAATACGGTAATGTTAAACTAATTATAGTTAAGGTAAATTAACTGATAATGTCGTCTGTCAAGTGCTCTAAAGCGGTACTATAAACAGGTAGCCGTCAAGGTTTTGTTCAAGTTGCGAATCTATACTTCATTCTGCAGCAGGATCAACCTAACGGCTACATCAGATTGGATTGGATTTTCAAAAAGCAAATACAATCAATCAACATGTACAATATATGCTTGATGTAGCCAGCAATATATGGATGAATCCTCTAAGACAAGCTGAATGAAACAGATCGAGATAGTTGGCAAAGCAAGTTCACTCACCGTCCTCTTGCTTGTTGGTTCTAGGCCTAACGTCCTGTCCGTTCTCTGTATCACCACTCGGAGGAATGGAAGAATCTGTGTTTTGCTGCTTCCCGGTACCCCACATAAAGTGTCGCCGATGGAGTTTTGCCCAAGCGTGGGAAAACCAGGGATGTTCAAGAACATCTGCACCATCCTCTGGAAGACGAGAGCCGAGACGAACCGAGGCGTCAGTCAAAAGTACTTTTGAAAAAACATAACAAGTATATAAAAATATATATATGTATAAGGATACATGGATAGAAATGTGTTAAGGATGGTCTAATAAAAAAAATGATAAAACTATATGAATGCCCTGATGTGAAGCCGGACGCTAGGAAATTCCTACTAATATGTGTATTAATCCTGACGATTAAAGAATCCAAGGATAAATTTGACCAAAAAGCCAGTATATAACACGAAAATTAATTGAAAATGAGAGATATATTCATATTCAAATTCAAAATATTTTTTTTTGGCCTGACAATCTACCAAAATAAAACCTGAAGTTTTAGCATAGGAGTGGCATCCCATAATACCAAAATGCATGGGTGTACCTTGTGAATAAACAGACAGTGTGAAGAAATTACAGTAATAATAAATTTAAATAGAATACTATTACTGTTTTGCAAGACGGTTGATATCTAAGAGGTAAAATGTTTCGGCCAAATCTCCAACAATCCAGGATTAAATTCATTTTAAATGACGAGTCAGAAACAAAAAAATTTGATTCAAGTATCATCCTAGTAAAATGTCTCTACTTTCATTTTCAAACGTAAAAACGTCTCTAAAAATAGATTAAGAATTATGGTAAGTTTATCCTAAAGGGCCGCCATTTAAGTGCTGTATATCTGAGCCTCATGTCGACTGACATACCTCCCATGAAGTCAATCACTTCGTCTGAGACGCCAGCATCAGTGGGAAAGTGAAGACTTTGGGAATGACTCATGATCTTGGAGTACGTACTGACCAAGGTCTCGGAGTAGAACGGTGTCTCGGCAAAAAGCATTTCATAGACAAGCACTCCAAGTGCCCACCAGTCTGCCTCAAATCCATATTCACCACCTCCGGAGCTCTGAGTAGGATTGCAAAAAGAAATCTGGATAAGAAAATGGCTATAAAAGAGGCTGTAAAAATGAAAAATCGCCCAGATGCTAAAACATTGACAGTTCTAGTGGCTCGAAAAAATGTAATAAAGTTTAAGTTAAGCTAGAAAAGTCTAAGTATCCTCTCACATAATAAGACAAAAGTGGTTAAACAATCTAATTGCTAATTCAATCTAATGAGACGAAAGCCAAAAGCAGCATACTAAGTATGTAATTATTTAAGGTCAAAGTTGATGCCCTTATGATCAAGGGCAAGCTGCAACCTTATGATAACATCAAAAGAAGCAAATTAAACAAGGTATAAATGGAAATTGGATATTTGAAAGCTATTCATTCAATAAGTAGGATAATAAAGACAAGTGTATATTACAATTAAAAAGGAATGGATCAGAATAAAGAAAAAATCGCATTTAACCTGATAAATATCTAGATGAGATACAGTACCTACGATGAAGAGTCCCATAAATATTACCTTCCAATTCAAACGAAAGAAAGAGTAGACTCGAAACTCAACTTATATATGAAAAATAAGTAATTTAGTCTATTGTTAAATTCAATGAAAACGTCAGATCTACCTAAATCATTGTGGGAAAATTCAACTACCCTTCCTTCATCACCTCAAACGATAAACGGTGAATACATCTCATATAACTGATTTACTGGTAGTCTCAAAACACTACTTATATACGAAAAATAACATATTCTACCCAACAAATTATACCACTTCGTGGAAAAAAGAAATAATGAAAGGAGGAAAAAATAAATAAGCCTATAGTATACACATTTTTTAGTTCGACCATAATAAAAGTGATTATCGCTAATTCTAACTCATTGTACTATTTAAGATTTTAATATAAAAAGTAACAATAATTTTAATTATAAA